ACTACATAGATGTAAATTTCGTATAACTCACGCTATAATCTTCCCAAGCTACTAAAGAGCAATTAGGATATATCGTACGCAACATCAACTCTATGAAGCTCTGGATTGGATTGGTCCAAAATTTAATAATCTCTGCTTTCAGTTTTTAGTCACAGGTTTCACAGCTGGGAAGTTTCCTGGTGTTGTGTATGTTGCTCACTGTCACGTTTTAAATGGCTCACTGGGACTCTTGAATAAACAGAGCCTGTTTTATGTTATAAAATCACCAGTGGTATTCTGCTATCTATGACTAGTCCCTGAAATGAACTTTAACTTCGAGGGTCTCTTCCATCACCACCATGTTTCAACCCAACACTGACCGTAGATGGGGCCTTTAGGCGAGTTTGGCAGCCATTATAGTTTCTCCTACACGCCTGGAACTGGAGGGTGAGAAAATCACAAAATAACTAGTTGTCAGAAGATATACTTAAGTACAGTACAGTAAAATAACCTTTTTAAAGTTTTAACATTGCCACCTCTGGGTGCTGAATGTAAGCAGTCTTGATTACACCACCCCTTTTTCCAATGAGACAAGCTGATTTGCAACACCAACATTCACCTTCTCGATTCCCCTGTCTCTTTATTTATGCTTCTTTCTGTGTTTGAGTGTGCTTAGCGTCTCTGATTTGATGATTAACCTGTAGAACTTTGGCTCTTTGTGTGGTCCTGGTATGTGTTTATTATTCAGGGTTAGATGAATCCACCATGTAGAAACCTGATAAAACATTCATCAGTTGAAATGAGTTCACTTTAAGATTCTGGGTCAGTTTAGAAGCAGGAAAAAACACTGAATCTACCATGTGTTTCCCATGGGATTTGAACACTACACAGCCTCGTCTAGCCTAACAGATAGAAGCACACATAACAAAACATATATAAATTATCCCAGTCAACTGCTCCATTTAAAACAAATGCAAAGGTCTGTGTTGTTCAAGTGCTGGTGAGATGATGAAATAGGATGCATGAAGTCCAGTATGAGCAATAGCGTTATAAACCACAGCACACAGTGGTTATAACGCTATGAGACAGTATTTACTGCTCTGGAAAGTTTTCACATTGACTTTTATTTTTCCTCCAGGGGAAAATGCATCCAGGGCCAGATTATAACTGCAGGAGGGCGAGGAAGAGGGTAAAAACGACCTGTTGGTACCCATTGTTTCTCTTTAGGTCAGTGCATTGGGTAGATATAGTAATAAGAAATTAGTTTGTAGCAACCGTTTTAGCACAAATAATATATAGAGTAATATATAGGCCTTTAAAGGAAAATTTAACTGAGGGCCCCATGACTTAAAATTGTCTCAAGATAAGGTTTTAATGTAGATACCTATCATATATTTTTTAAGGTAGATCAAAAGTTTGTCTCTCCCCCTCTCCTTACAGTGTGTTGTTAAATGTACCATGTTGATGAGAAGAGAGTGTAGTTAATTCAGGTTGAACGGTGTCCACTGATGTAAACGGCTGTATGTTCTGGACTCACCTTTCGAAGTTAAGTGAAGCTCACAAATGGAAGATCCCTTGTCGTGTGAAATGTTTTCAACCCACGTACATCCAGACGTGAGCTAGGCTGCTAACTCACTTCAAAGAGCTCCAAACACAACAATATATTGTGCATTAGGTTGGCATACAGTATTACCAAACTAAATTGCATCATTCATATTACCACAAACTGATTGTCAGATGTTTAACTGGGAGTTTTTGGGCCCCCTGAGGGTCTGGTTGGTAATTCAGCATCTGCAACACTGGGGTCTCATTGAAATGAATGAGTGGGCTAAGATCTTTCACTTAATGCTATTGAACATGGCCTTGGGTGGGAAGTAGACCAGGTTTCCCACAATAGCCCTTTTCTTCCCTGTAACACTATAATTTGATTGGTGTAGCTGGAGGATGCTCTGTCTGAGAAGACATCATCATCTATCTTGTTAACGTGGTTCTTTTGTTAAGGTCAGGATTTTATTTTATTTATTTGATCTGGGATCATAACAGTGGCTCTGCGTTTTTTTATGAGGGCTGTGATTTGTGTTAAGGGATAATAATAATACCTGTTTATTACAACTTTTTTGATCTGGATTTTTACAGGTTTGTCCATACTGACTAATGTAAAATTGCAATGTAATGAATTCCTGTAGGGATTGTAGTGCAGGGAGCCACTGCAGACCAAGTTACACACACACACATTTTCATGTACAGTATATGCGAGTGTCAGTATGTTGAGAGAGATTCACAGCACCGTCTGCTGGACTGGCTCGGTAGTTCATTTGACTAGGAGCATCTGTTTCACCTGCTGCTGCCAGTCACACTGGAACTAACACTCAGAACAGATTTACTCAGCTTGAGATGCATTCAAAGTTTCTGCTTGTCACATTTACCCTGTATGATTTGTATAAGAAGAATATGGGTTGTGCCTACCCTTGAGGTGCAAGAGTTTGTTCATTCCTTATCCTGCATATTTCTGACACAGGGCCCCTCGGCCATGGCCCAAGTCCTGATCTTTCTGATAGCAGCACAGTATTTTACCAGAGCACATTTACTGTAATTGTTTCTAAGAATATAAACTGTTTACATCTACCAGCTGCTCTTAAAACTCTCAGTTGGGGTTTCTCCTGCTTTGATAAAAGCAATGGCCTTCCCGCTCTGCAGCAGAGGACACTGATTCAGATGAGACTCGGAGGATAGGATAATGACTTTAGCATTGGGATGTCGTGGCATCTTAAGAATCACGTCTCTGATTCTGGGTTACCGGGTAACATGGTGCTCATTCCAGCAAAAGAGATTGGATGGGTTTTCTAGATTAATTCAATTAGAATTTTGGTTGTTGTGTTGTTGTAATAGGCATTATCATTTCAGGTATAGTTGTCCTCAAGAGTCAAAGCACCTTACAGGAATATTTTCAGAAGACGTGCAATGAGGTGAAACAATGAAAATAAGACCTCCTTCTACCCTATTTTATTAAAACATCAGGTTGAACAAAGATGCAGTGCAACTTGTACAATATGTGCTTTTTCCCTTTCTCTCGCTCTCTGTTTCTCATCCTCCTTTCTCTTCCTTCTGTCAATTATTGGTTACAATCCTCCTGATCTTCATTGTGACAGATTTGATGGTGTGCGGGATCCCGTTCTGTCTCCAGGTGTCCCACAGGATGCGTGTCCTCTGGCCCCGGTCCTGCTCTGCATCTTCAGGAGAGCCGTTGAGGTTCGCCAGGCCACACTGGTTGAACCACCATCCTGTCTGGTTGTATTGAGTGCTGCAGCTCTCCACCGTGCGGTTGTCGATGGAGCAGAAAGGATTACAGCCATCGTTGTCCACATCTGAGGCACTGAACGGAGCCGTGTCCTGGTTCTGCTCCTGTTCGTAGCCGCGAAAGGAATCACCTGTACAAAAAAGACACACATGCATGCAAGATGTGCACACGTTGCGTACATTTATCATTATTTTGAAGTTGCACAGCATGAAAAGAAAAAAGCACATTTGTCACTTTTTATAAGCCTTGATTTATTAAGTGTTACCTGCGCTGCCTGCATATCTCCCCAGGTGTATGCTGAAGAACTGGGTTTCGTTGTCCAGGTGGAAATCATCATATGATGCATAAGAGGTGATGTCATCATGGGAGACCAGAGCGATGTGAAGTTGGAACCGAGTATCTTTCTGGTTTATTATATGAAATACCTTCTTCAGACCCAACCAGTGTTCTCCTACACACACACACACACA